TGGTCCGCTTTTGTTGAACACTTTAAAAAAGTGTATGATTCTCCGAATCGGTCGTTACTTGCATTTCAAAAATTACAGTCGTATCATCAATCCGCAGATCAAGATACTCGCAGTTTCTGCGATGCGATGCGCAAGTTATGTCGAGAATATGATCCCGATATGAGCCCGAAGATGAAACTTGATTTTCTTCTCCGCTCGGTTAATCCGACTTATCGTCCGGAAATATTAAAACTTAAACCAACAAGTGCTGACGCATTTGAACAAATTGCAATAGATGTTGAACATACGTTTATTACTTTAACCGCATATGAAACCTATACTCCATCAACGGTTACTACTTATACTTCTTCACCACCATCAGGTGCTAATTATATTGCACCACAACAATCACCTGCATCGAACTATCCTTATCGCGGCCGAAATAACTTCCGTTCGAATCAACGTCCGCCTTTTAACACAACTTTTCGTCCATTTACATCTTCACCTAACTATTATCAAGGTCGTCGACAATCTTCAAACTTCAATTCACCCCAGTTACCTCGACCACAACAATTCGTCGCCTCTGCCTCCGCTACTCATACAGTACCACCTTCATACCAATCGCTACCACCCCTCATGCCTCCATCTTCTGCTCCACCACCACCACCACCACCACCTCCACCTCCAGCTGCACTTCTACCATTACATCTATTGTCTTGTCAGTGGTGCAACCAGCAAGGACATTCAGCTCGTGACTGCCCTTTTTAAAGTTGGGGTCAGAGTCTGATGGTTCTGTCTCCAAGCCGTCTCCTGCAAATCCATCACCATCTGCCTTACTCAATGCTTCTCTTCTCGTTAATAATATTCCGCTTCAAATACTTATTGACACAGGTGCGTCTGCTACCTGTATCAGTAAATCAGCTTTATCTCGTCTGCCCCATGTTCATTTCCTCGATCGAACACCTCGTTCTTTCTTGCTCGCTGACGGGTTTCTGTCACTTCACGTGCTCGGCAACGTTCAACTCTCTATGCAACTTGGCGCCGAGATCATATCCTTCTCTGCACTTGTTACTGAACACCTATGCGTCGACCTCATCTTGGGCATCGATTTTCTTACTTTCTTCGTTGCCAAAATTGATGTGGATCTTCGTCAACTTTCACTCAAACACAATGGTCGTTGGATTACTCTCAATGTTGATGACACGCTACGTTCTTCATTCGTGCCTATTCGGTCCGTTTCGAACGTTATTTTGCCGTCAAAATCTACC